TTCAGATTTCAACTTTTGAGTCGACTCAAAAGCGGATTGGGATCGATATCGGACGTTCAGATTTCAACTTTTGAGTCGACTCAAAAGCGGATTGGGATCGATATCGGACGTTCAGATTTCAACTTTTGAGTCGACTCAAAAGCGGATTGGGATCGATATCGGACGTTCAGATTTCAACTTTTGAGTCGACTCAAAAGCGGATTGGGATCGATATCGGACGTTCAGATTTCAACTTTTGAGTCGACTCAAAAGCGGATTGGGATCGATATCGGACGTTCAGATTTCAACTTTTGAGTCGACTCAAAAGCGGATTGGGATCGATATCGGACGTTCAGATTTCAACTTTTGAGTCGACTCAAAAGCGGATTGGGATCGATATCGGACGTTCAGATTTCAACTTTTGAGTCGACTCAAAAGCGGATTGGGATCGATATCGGACGTTCAGATTTCAACTTTTGAGTCGACTCAAAAGCGGATTGGGATCGATATCGGACGTTCAGATTTCAACTTTTGAGTCGACTCAAAAGCGGATTGGGATCGATATCGGACGTTCAGATTTCAACTTTTGAGTCGACTCAAAAGCGGATTGGGATCGATATCGGACGTTCAGATTTCAACTTTTGAGTCGACTCAAAAGCGGATTGGGATCGATATCGGACGTTCAGATTTCAACTTTTGAGTCGACTCAAAAGCGGATTGGGATCGATATCGGACGTTCAGATTTCAACTTTTGAGTCGACTCAAAAGCGGATTGGGATCGATATCGGACGTTCAGATTTCAACTTTTGAGTCGACTCAAAAGCGGATTGGGATCGATATCGGACGTTCAGATTTCAACTTTTGAGTCGACTCAAAAGCGGATTGGGATCGATATCGGACGTTCAGATTTCAACTTTTGAGTCGACTCAAAAGCGGATTGGGATCGATATCGGACGTTCAGATTTCAACTTTTGAGTCGACTCAAAAGCGGATTGGGATCGATATCGGACGTTCAGATTTCAACTTTTGAGTCGACTCAAAAGCGGATTGGGATCGATATCGGACGTTCAGATTTCAACTTTTGAGTCGACTCAAAAGCGGATTGGGATCGATATCGGACGTTCAGATTTCAACTTTTGAGTCGACTCAAAAGCGGATTGGGATCGATATCGGACGTTCAGATTTCAACTTTTGAGTCGACTCAAAAGCGGATTGGGATCGATATCGGACGTTCAGATTTCAACTTTTGAGTCGACTCAAAAGCGGATTGGGATCGATATCGGACGTTCAGATTTCAACTTTTGAGTCGACTCAAAAGCGGATTGGGATCGATATCGGACGTTCAGATTTCAACTTTTGAGTCGACTCAAAAGCGGATTGGGATCGATATCGGACGTTCAGATTTCAACTTTTGAGTCGACTCAAAAGCGGATTGGGATCGATATCGGACGTTCAGATTTCAACTTTTGAGTCGACTCAAAAGCGGATTGGGATCGATATCGGACGTTCAGATTTCAACTTTTGAGTCGACTCAAAAGCGGATTGGGATCGATATCGGACGTTCAGATTTCAACTTTTGAGTCGACTCAAAAGCGGATTGGGATCGATATCGGACGTTCAGATTTCAACTTTTGAGTCGACTCAAAAGCGGATTGGGATCGATATCGGACGTTCAGATTTCAACTTTTGAGTCGACTCAAAAGCGGATTGGGATCGATATCGGACGTTCAGATTTCAACTTTTGAGTCGACTCAAAAGCGGATTGGGATCGATATCGGACGTTCAGATTTCAACTTTTGAGTCGACTCAAAAGCGGATTGGGATCGATATCGGACGTTCAGATTTCAACTTTTGAGTCGACTCAAAAGCGGATTGGGATCGATATCGGACGTTCAGATTTCAACTTTTGAGTCGACTCAAAAGCGGATTGGGATCGATATCGGACGTTCAGATTTCAACTTTTGAGTCGACTCAAAAGCGGATTGGGATCGATATCGGACGTTCAGATTTCAACTTTTGAGTCGACTCAAAAGCGGATTGGGATCGATATCGGACGTTCAGATTTCAACTTTTGAGTCGACTCAAAAGCGGATTGGGATCGATATCGGACGTTCAGATTTCAACTTTTGAGTCGACTCAAAAGCGGATTGGGATCGATATCGGACGTTCAGATTTCAACTTTTGAGTCGACTCAAAAGCGGATTGGGATCGATATCGGACGTTCAGATTTCAACTTTTGAGTCGACTCAAAAGCGGATTGGGATCGATATCGGACGTTCAGATTTCAACTTTTGAGTCGACTCAAAAGCGGATTGGGATCGATATCGGACGTTCAGATTTCAACTTTTGAGTCGACTCAAAAGCGGATTGGGATCGATATCGGACGTTCAGATTTCAACTTTTGAGTCGACTCAAAAGCGGATTGGGATCGATATCGGACGTTCAGATTTCAACTTTTGAGTCGACTCAAAAGCGGATTGGGATCGATATCGGACGTTCAGATTTCAACTTTTGAGTCGACTCAAAAGCGGATTGGGATCGATATCGGACGTTCAGATTTCAACTTTTGAGTCGACTCAAAAGCGGATTGGGATCGATATCGGACGTTCAGATTTCAACTTTTGAGTCGACTCAAAAGCGGATTGGGATCGATATCGGACGTTCAGATTTCAACTTTTGAGTCGACTCAAAAGCGGATTGGGATCGATATCGGACGTTCAGATTTCAACTTTTGAGTCGACTCAAAAGCGGATTGGGATCGATATCGGACGTTCAGATTTCAACTTTTGAGTCGACTCAAAAGCGGATTGGGATCGATATCGGACGTTCAGATTTCAACTTTTGAGTCGACTCAAAAGCGGATTGGGATCGATATCGGACGTTCAGATTTCAACTTTTGAGTCGACTCAAAAGCGGATTGGGATCGATATCGGACGTTCAGATTTCAACTTTTGAGTCGACTCAAAAGCGGATTGGGATCGATATCGGACGTTCAGATTTCAACTTTTGAGTCGACTCAAAAGCGGATTGGGATCGATATCGGACGTTCAGATTTCAACTTTTGAGTCGACTCAAAAGCGGATTGGGATCGATATCGGACGTTCAGATTTCAACTTTTGAGTCGACTCAAAAGCGGATTGGGATCGATATCGGACGTTCAGATTTCAACTTTTGAGTCGACTCAAAAGCGGATTGGGATCGATATCGGACGTTCAGATTTCAACTTTTGAGTCGACTCAAAAGCGGATTGGGATCGATATCGGACGTTCAGATTTCAACTTTTGAGTCGACTCAAAAGCGGATTGGGATCGATATCGGACGTTCAGATTTCAACTTTTGAGTCGACTCAAAAGCGGATTGGGATCGATATCGGACGTTCAGATTTCAACTTTTGAGTCGACTCAAAAGCGGATTGGGATCGATATCGGACGTTCAGATTTCAACTTTTGAGTCGACTCAAAAGCGGATTGGGATCGATATCGGACGTTCAGATTTCAACTTTTGAGTCGACTCAAAAGCGGATTGGGATCGATATCGGACGTTCAGATTTCAACTTTTGAGTCGACTCAAAAGCGGATTGGGATCGATATCGGACGTTCAGATTTCAACTTTTGAGTCGACTCAAAAGCGGATTGGGATCGATATCGGACGTTCAGATTTCAACTTTTGAGTCGACTCAAAAGCGGATTGGGATCGATATCGGACGTTCAGATTTCAACTTTTGAGTCGACTCAAAAGCGGATTGGGATCGATATCGGACGTTCAGATTTCAACTTTTGAGTCGACTCAAAAGCGGATTGGGATCGATATCGGACGTTCAGATTTCAACTTTTGAGTCGACTCAAAAGCGGATTGGGATCGATATCGGACGTTCAGATTTCAACTTTTGAGTCGACTCAAAAGCGGATTGGGATCGATATCGGACGTTCAGATTTCAACTTTTGAGTCGACTCAAAAGCGGATTGGGATCGATATCGGACGTTCAGATTTCAACTTTTGAGTCGACTCAAAAGCGGATTGGGATCGATATCGGACGTTCAGATTTCAACTTTTGAGTCGACTCAAAAGCGGATTGGGATCGATATCGGACGTTCAGATTTCAACTTTTGAGTCGACTCAAAAGCGGATTGGGATCGATATCGGACGTTCAGATTTCAACTTTTGAGTCGACTCAAAAGCGGATTGGGATCGATATCGGACGTTCAGATTTCAACTTTTGAGTCGACTCAAAAGCGGATTGGGATCGATATCGGACGTTCAGATTTCAACTTTTGAGTCGACTCAAAAGCGGATTGGGATCGATATCGGACGTTCAGATTTCAACTTTTGAGTCGACTCAAAAGCGGATTGGGATCGATATCGGACGTTCAGATTTCAACTTTTGAGTCGACTCAAAAGCGGATTGGGATCGATATCGGACGTTCAGATTTCAACTTTTGAGTCGACTCAAAAGCGGATTGGGATCGATATCGGACGTTCAGATTTCAACTTTTGAGTCGACTCAAAAGCGGATTGGGATCGATATCGGACGTTCAGATTTCAACTTTTGAGTCGACTCAAAAGCGGATTGGGATCGATATCGGACGTTCAGATTTCAACTTCCTGCCCATCCTCTCTCTCTTTCCTCCCATACACCTTTCTCTCTTCCTCTTCCCTTTCGTATCTCTGGCTCCCCCCTGTGACCCTGTCATTTCATTCTTCCTCACACTGCGTCACTCCCTTCCTCTTTTCCTCGCTCCCGCCTCCCACTCTCCTCTTCTCTCTGTGCCCTTCTCTCTTTCACCCTCCCCGTTTCAGCGCGCCTCCATTTCAGGCGCACCTCTCCCTCGTGCCTCTCACTCGCCTCTCCCTCTCTCCTCTCACCTCATCCTCTCTCCTCAACACGTCTCCGCTCCAGCGAGTGAGTGGGTGGCTCCAGATCCAACAGCCAGCAGTGCAGCACCAGATCTGTCTCGACTCCCCCATCCCCCACTCTGTTTTGATCTTTCCCTCTCCCCTCCACTCTCTCTGTTCCCCATCAGCCCGTCTGCGCTCAGGCGAGTGGGTGGCAGTGAAGATCCAACGGCCAGCAGTGCAGCAGCAGATCGCCCTGGACTCCCTCGTGGTGCGCCGGGTGGCAGCACTGCTGCAGCCCCTCGTGCATGGCAGATCCGATCTCGTTGCCATCGCCGACCAGCTGGTGAGGATACGGACAAACGCAGTGAGCTGAGCTGGCAGGGTTCTTGTTTCCTCAGGACGATCCAGGTTGCGCTCGCTCGTCTCACAAGCTGATTGAGTGGACTAGGAGCACGGGGGGCACTGGGAGCACGGGGGGCACTGGGAGCACGGGGGGGCAGCAATCAGAGACGGGGGTCTGGTATGGGGTTATGCAGCAGCTTTGCATTGCTTTGTGAGACGTCTCAAAAGTCAATGCAGGGAGAGGGGTTTAAACTCAATGTGGAGCTATGCCGCAGCTTAAAAGTATCCCACGCACCCGCTGCCCTGCCCCGCAGGTGTGCCGCATGTTTGATGAGGTGGACTACGAGCAGGAGGGGCGCAATGCGGGGAGAGAGGTGGGGTTGTGTTGAGTGGAATTATGCAGCAGCTTGAAAGTGTTTCACCCATCCACCACCCCATTCTCCCCCCCACCAGGTGTGCCGCATGTTCGATGAAGTGGACTACGAGCAGGAGGGGCGCAATGCAGAGAGGAGGAGTTGTGTGGACGTTTATGGGGAGTATTGCTGCAGCTTGAAAGTTCCTCACCCACCCACCCTCTTCCCTACCCCCCAGGTGTGCCGCATGTTTGATGAAGTGGACTACGAGCAGGAGGGGCGCAATGCAGAGCGCTTCCAAGCGCTCTACGGCGACCACCGGCCCGATCCAGGTGTGCATGTGCCATGAGCGCATGTGCCATGAGCCATGACCATTTTGCATGTGCTCATGTGTGTGCATGGGCGCTCCAGGCACTCTACGGCGACCACCGGCCCGATCCAGGTGTGCATGTGCCATGAGCGCATGTGCCATGAGCCATGACCATTTTGCATGTGCTCATGTGTGTGCATGGGCGCTCCAGGCACTCTACGGCGACCACCGGCCCGATCCAGGTGTGCATGTGCCATGAGCGCATGTGCCATGAGCCATGACCATTTTGCATGTGCTCATGTGTGTGCATGGGCGCTCCAGGCACTCTACGGCGACCACCGGCCCGATCAAGGTGTGCATGTGCCATGAGCGCATGTGCCATGAGCCATCACCATTTTGCATGTGCTCATGTGTGTGCATGGGCGCTCCAGGCACTCTACGGCGACCACCGGCCCGATCCAGGTGTGCATGTGCCATGAGCGCATGTGCCATGAGCCATGACCATTTTGCATGTGCTCATGTGTGTGCATGGGCGCTCCAGGCACTCTACGGCGACCACCGGCCCGATCAAGGTGTGCATGTGCCATGAGCGCATGTGCCATGAGCCATGACCATTTTGCATGTGCTCATGTGTGTGCATGGGCGCTCCAGGCACTCTACGGCGACCACCGGCCCGATCCAGGTGTGCATGTGCCATGAGCGCATGTGCCATGAGCCATGACCATTTTGCATGTGCTCATGTGTGTGCATGGGCGCTCCAGGCACTCTACGGCGACCACCGGCCCGATCCAGGTGTGCATGTGCCATGAGCCATGACCATTTTGCATGTGCTCATGTGTGTGCATGGGCGCTCCAGGCACTCTACGGCGACCACCGGCCCGATCAAGGTGTGCATGTGCCATGAGCGCATGTGCCATGAGCCATGACCATTTTGCATGTGCTCATGTGTGTGCATGGGCGCTCCAGGCACTCTACGGCGACCACCGGCCCGATCCAGGTGTGCATGTGCCATGAGCGCATGTGCCATGAGCCATGACCATTTTGCATGTGCTCATGTGTGTGCATGGGCGCTCCAGGCACTCTACGGCGACCACCGGCCCGATCCAGGTGTGCATGTGCCATGAGCGCATGTGCCATGAGCCATGACCATTTTGCATGTGCTCATGTGTGTGCATGGGCGCTCCAGGCACTCTACGGCGACCACCGGCCCGATCCAGGTGTGCATGTGCCATGAGCGCATGTGCCATGAGCCATGACCATTTTGCATGTGCTCATGTGTGTGCATGGGCGCTCCAGGCACTCTACGGCGACCACCGGCCCGATCCAGGTGTGCATGTGCCATGAGCGCATGTGCCATGAGCCATGACCATTTTGCATGTGCTCATGTGTGTGCATGGGCGCTCCAGGCACTCTACGGCGACCACCGGCCCGATCCAGGTGTGCATGTGCCATGAGCGCATGTGCCATGAGCCATGACCATTTTGCATGTGCTCATGTGTGTGCATGGGCGCTCCAGGCACTCTACGGCGACCACCGGCCCGATCCAGGTGTGCATGTGCCATGAGTGCATGTGCCATGAGCCATGACCATTTTGCATGTGCTCATGTGTGTGCATGGGCGCTCCAGGCACTCTACGGCGACCACCGGCCCGATCCAGGTGTGCATGTGCCATGAGCGCATGTGCCATGAGCCATGACCATTTTGCATGTGCTCATGTGTGTGCATGGGCGCTCCAGGCACTCTACGGCGACCACCGGCCCGATCCAGGTGTGCATGTGCCATGAGCGCATGTGCCATGAGCCATGACCATTTTGCATGTGCTCATGTGTGTGCATGGGCGCTCCAGGCACTCTACGGCGACCACCGGCCCGATCCAGGTGTGCATGTGCCATGAGCGCATGTGCCATGAGCCATGACCATTTTGCATGTGCTCATGTGTGTGCATGGGCGCTCCAGGCACTCTACGGCGACCACCGGCCTGATCCAGGTGTGCATGTGCCATGAGCGCATGTGCCATGAGCCATGACCATTTTGCATGTGCTCATGTGTGTGCATGGGCGCTCCAGGCACTCTACGGCGACCACCGGCCCGATCCAGGTGTGCATGTGCCATGAGCGCATGTGCCATGAGCCATGACCATTTTGCATGTGCTCATGTGTGTGCATGGGCGCTCCAGGCACTCTACGGCGACCACCGGCCCGATCCAGGTGTGCATGTGCCATGAGCGCATGTGCCATGAGCCATGACCATTTTGCATGTGCTCATGTGTGTGCATGGGCGCTCCAGGCACTCTACGGCGACCACCGGCCCGATCCAGGTGTGCATGTGCTGCGTGTGCATGTGCTGCGTGTGCATGTGCTGCGTGTGCATGTGCTGCGTGTGCATGTGCTGCGTGTGCATGTGCTGCGTGTGCATGTGCTGCGTGTGCATGTGCTGCGTGTGCATGTGCTGCGTGTGCATGTGCTGCGTGTGCATGTGCTGCGTGTGCATGTGCTGCGTGTGCATGTGCTGCGTGTGCATGTGCTGCGTGTGCATGTGCTGCGTGTGCATGTGCTGCGTGTGCATGTGCTGCGTGTGCATGTGCTGCGTGTGCATGTGCTGCGTGTGCATGTGCTGCGTGTGCATGTGCTGCGTGTGCATGTGTCCAGGTATGTATGTGATGTGACCATGTTGCATGTGCTGTGGTGGTCTAAGCGTTCCAACTTCCAAGCAAGCACTCTACGGCGACCACCTCACTGCCAATCCAATCACGGTTCTATGCTTACTCACCCCTCGGCAGAACTTCCTGTCCTGTCCTGGAGGCAAGGCTGATTGCTTTAAGAGATGGATTCTCGTTGATATTGCTCTGAACAACCCAAGGTTTTTCCAGCGTGCGCATCGTTCGGCTTGGCTGCATGCATGCATCGCCCCTCATGCCATTCCTCTACTTTACCCTACCATGCCATCTTCTGCTGGTGCTTGCCATGCCATGCCATGCCATGCCATACCTTGTCTGTCCATCCAAGGACCTCCCACCTGCTGCCTGCCTGCATCGACTAACCTTGTTGTTCTGATCCGCGCCCTCTTGCCTTTCCCTGCTCCCAGGGCAATCCAAGACCTCTCAGGGCACGCGTCGCGGCCTTGTGAAGGTTCCAAGAATCTTCTGGAAGTACTCCAGTCGCCGCGTGCTCACGATGGAGGTGAGTGAGTGAGTAGGATGCTTCCGAAGGTGACGTGTAGAGAGGGTGTTTTTGAGACATCTCAAAAACACCCTCTCTACAGGTGAGTGAGTAGGATGCTTCCGAAGGTGAGATGTTTTATAGAATTCTCTCAAAATCCCTCCCATATATGAGGTGGGGATTTCTGGGAATTCTCGAAAACCCCTCTCGAAGGTGAGGGGTTTTTAGATTTTTGTAAGTAATAAAATCTCCAGAAGACGAGATTAGGTGTATCCTAATGAATGCCTTTCTTGGCCTGCTGTTTGTATACGTGTTCGCCATTCGACTCTGCTTCTCGTCTCGCCACCTACCTCTTTTGTTGCAGTTTCATTCCTCGGCGGTTAACACTGTTTGCACACAGCCAACCACCCAGCCCTAGTGCTGTGCCTACCCCATTCCTGGTCATATTTTCGACCTCCCTCGTTGCTCACCCCCCCTTGCTGCAACCTGCCTTGTGCGCGCCTCCTTTCATCTCACCCTTCTTGCGGTGTGCCTTCCTTGCTGTCCCTCCACCTACCCCCTTGCAGTGGATCGACGGCATCAAGCTCACGGACCGTGCAGGGCTGCTGCAAGCCGGCCTCAACACACAGTTTGTCGTGGACCTGGTAGGTACCGTGTGACATTTGACATGTATTAGCATATACGTACACACATATATATACATATATACATATATATATATATGTATGTATATACATGTGTGCGTGCGCGTGGGTTCACTCTGGACTCCTCCTCTCCCTCAACACGGACTGCTCAAGCTCCCTTGTGTCTGCTGCAGCACCCACCCCACCACCCCCCTCCTTTCCCCCCCACACACCAGGGAGTGTTCTGCTCGCTGCGCCAGCTGCTAGAGGAGGGCTTCTTCCATAGCCCCCCCCCTTCCACCCCTTCCTTCCCCTTTCCCCCGTTCCACCCTTCCACTTTCTCCCCTCCCCCCTTTTCCCCCATCAGGGAGTGTTCTGCTCGCTGCGCCAGCTGCTAGAGGAGGGCTTCTTCCACGCGGACCCGCACCCGGGCAATCTGGTGGTGACACGTGGCGGCCAGCTGGCGTACTTCGACTTTGGCATGATGGGCGAGCTGCCACCTCAGCAGCGAATCAGCATCATCCGCGCCGTGAGTGGGCCAATCATACATAGCTCTCCAGGTACCAGTTTTTCAGTTTCTTCCACTGGAGGACAGGCGGGTTGCAAAGGCCTTACTTACTTACTTCCACCAACTCGTGTGTTTTAGGACAACGAGACGAACCCCGTAAGTCAGGTGAGTGAGATTCTTTGCGCTTCTTAGAGAGCCAGTTTGAAATGAAACCAGTCTGTACACCCTCTACTGTCAGGTCAAACGCCCACTTCATTCTTGGGCTTGCTCATTACTGTGTTGGTCAACGCCCACTTCATTCTTGGGCTTGCTCATTACTGTGTTGGTCAACGCCCACTTCATTCTTGGGCTTGCTCATTACTGTGTTGGTCAACGCCCACTTCATTCTTGGGCTTGCTCATTACTGTGTTGGTCAACGCCCACTTCATTCTTGGGCTTGCTCATTACTGTGTGGGTCAACGCCCACTTCATTCTTGGGCTTGCTCATTACTGTGTGGGTCAACGCCCACTTCATTCTTGGGCTTGCTCATTACTGTGTGGGTCAACGCCCACTTCATTCTTGGGCTTGCTCACTACTGTGTGGGTCAACGCCCACTTCATTCTTGGGCTTGCTCATTACTGTGTGGGTCAACGCCCACTTCATTCTTGGGCTTGCTCATTACTGTGTGGGTCAACGCCCACTTCATTCTTGGGCTTGCTCATTACTGTGTGGGTCAACGCCCACTTCATTCTTGGGCTTGCTCATTACTCTGTTGGTCAACGCCCACTTCATTCTTGGGCTTGCTCATTACTGTGTGGGTCAACGCCCACTTCATTCTTGGGCTTGCTCATTACTGTGTGGGTCAACGCCCACTTCATTCTTGGGCTTGCTCATTACTGTGTGGGTCAACGCCCACTTCATTCTTGGGCTTGCTCATTACTGTGTTGGTCAACGCCCACTTCATTCTTGGGCTTGCTCATTACTGTGTGGGTCAACGCCCACTTCATTCTTGGGCTTGCTCATTACTGTGTGGGTCAACGCCCACTTCATTCTTGGGCTTGCTCATTACTGTGTGGGTCAACGCCCACTTCATTCTTGGGCTTGCTCATTACTGTGTGGGTCAACGCCCACTTCATTCTTGGGCTTGCTCATTACTGTGTGGGTCAACGCCCACTTCATTCTTGGGCTTGCTCATTACTGTGTGGGTCAACGCCCACTTCATTCTTGGGCTTGCTCATTACTGTGTGGGTCAACGCCCACTTCATTCTTGGGCTTGCTCATTACTGTGTGGGTCAACGCCCACTTCATTCTTGGGCTTGCTCATTACTGTGTGGGTCAACGCCCACTTCATTCTTGGGCTTGCTCATTACTGTGTGGGTCAACGCCCACTTCATTCTTGGGCTTGCTCATTACTGTGTGGGTCAACGCCCACTTCATTCTTGGGCTTGCTCATTACTGTGTGGGTCAACGCCCACTTCATTCTTGGGCTTGCTCATTACTGTGTGGGTCAACGCCCACTTCATTCTTGGGCTTGCTCATTACTGTGTTGGTCAACGCCCACTTCATTCTTGGGCTTGCTCATTACTGTGTGGGTCAACGCCCACTTCATTCTTGGGCTTGCTCATTACTGTGTGGGTCAACGCCCACTTCATTCTTGGGCTTGCTCATTACTGTGTTGGTCAACGCCCACTTCATTCTTGGGCTTGCTCATTACTGTGTTGGTCAACGCCCACTTCATTCTTGGGCTTGCTCATTACTGTGTTGGTCAACTCCCACTTCATTCTTGGGCTTGCTCATTACTGTGTGGGTCAACGCCCACTTCATTCTTGGGCTTGCTCATTACTGTGTTGGTCAACGCCCACTTCATTCTTGGGCTTGCTCATTACTGTGTTGGTCAACGCCCACTTCATTCTTGGGCTTGCTCATTACTGTGTGGGTCAACGCCCACTTCATTCTTGGGCTTGCTCATTACTGTGTGGGTCAACGCCCACTTCATTCTTGGGCTTGCTCATTACTGTGTGGGTCAACGCCCACTTCATTCTTGGGCTTGCTCATTACTGTGTGGGTCAACGCCCACTGTGCATAGTCCAGAGTCCAAACACACAAAGTCCGTTTTTTGTTTTGTTTTGTTTTTCTAAAAAAAACTTTCAAGAAATTACAAAAGGTCAACGCTCACTGTGCTGAGACCGGAGCCCGAACACACAAAGTCCGACCTCTGCACTGCACTTGTTTGATCCTGCCTGCTGTCAAACCATTCTTGAGGCACCTCAGGAATTGCTTGCTGTGAGTCAGACCTAGGAGAAAGGAGGACCCATCAGATTGCCTGAGTCCCCCTTGGCATCCCGTGCAGGTGAGTTTCTGCACCCCCTCCCCTCGTCCCCTCTCTCGCGCTCCCGTACCTACCCAGGCGGTGCACTTCGTGCATCGTGACGCCCAGGGCCGGCCGGGTGATAACAAGTCGGTGGTGAGACGTCTCAGGTGGTGCAACTTGTTATCACATGCCTACCCAGGTGGTGCTCTCCATGCACTGTCGTGCATCGCAACGCCCACGGTCGGCCGGGCGCGGGACGTAACCATCGTTGCGCTGCCTCAACCTTGATCCAACACGGCGTTTCACCGCCTGCCAATTTCTGCAACCCCCGCCCACTCAACTCAGCATCCTTCCACTCCCCTTCGCTGGCCGGTCTCCCCTCTATCGCCCACCCAGGTTGTGCACTACGTGAATCCCGACCCCCACGGTCTGGCACATGACTTTCGAGCGCTTCACTTCATTCCGCCCCGCACTCCCTTCCACTCCCTACACACACCACCCCCCTTTCTTTCCCCGCACCATTTATCATCATCCCAGGTTGTGCACTATGTTAACCGTGACGCCCAGGGCCTAGCGCAGGACTTTCGAGCGCTGCACTTCATTCCGCCACAGGCAGACGTGGCGCCCGTTGCTGCTGCGCTTGCAGAGGCGTTCCGGGAGGGGGAGGCGAGAAAGGGGGGGAGCATGAGTGGCAGCACGAGTGGCATGGACTTTCAGGTATGGCTCGCGTTATTGACTCCCCTGTGATGGAATGCATTCTATTCCGCCAGAGGCAGACGTGGTGCCCGTTGCTGCGGCACTCGCAGAGGTGTTCCGCGAGGGCGAGGCGAGCAGGGGGGAGAGGCACAGTGGCGGCAGCACAAGCGGCATGGACTTTCAGGTGCGACACTCTTCCCACCTCGTCCCCACCACTGCGTTTTCGGCTCTCCTTGTCCCCACCATTGCGGTTCCGGCTCTCCTCACTCATCCACCGATTCCGCTTCATCTTGGTTCCTTTCATCCCCACCTCGTCCCCTCCACTGCACCCTCGCCGCCCCCTCGCCACTCCTTCGCCTCTCCCTCGCCTCTCCCTCGCCGCTCCCTCGCCGCTCCCTCGCCTCTCCCTCGCCGCTCCCTCGCCTCTCCCTCGCCGCTCCCTCGCCTCTCCCTCGCCGCTCCCTCGCCTCTCCCTCGCCTCTCCCTCGCCTCTCCCTCGCCTCTCCCTCGCCGCTCCCTCGCCTCTCCCTCGCCTCTCCCATGTCTCTCCCCATCCCTCCTCCCCCACGGGGAGTCATCCTGCGCCTCTCCTCTGTGATGCATCGCTTCCAATTCAGCCTGCCGCTGCACCTCTCGCATCTTCTCTGTTCCTCTAGTCACATGTTACCATGCACTCATTCTCCATCCCATTCTCTTTCCCATCCCATTCGCTCCCCCACAGGGTGTCATCCTGCGCCTCTCCTCAGTGATGCATCGCTTTCGATTCAGCCCCCGACCGCACCTCTCGCATCCTCTCTGTTCCCCACATCACATGTCCTTTTTCTCTCCACCTTTCTCCCCCTCCCCTCCCCCACAGGGGGTCATCCTGCGTCTCTCCTCTGTGATGTACCGCTTCCGATTCAGCCTGCCACCGCACCTCTCCCTCGTTGTGCGCGCTCTTGGCTCGCTAGAAGGCACGGCAACGACTCTCGACCCCAACTTCAAGGTCCGTTCTCGAATCAACTCTAAAGGGGAAAGCCTCTCAGCCTGCCACCGCACCTCTGCCTCGTCATCCGCGCTCGAGGCAATAGTTGAGTCGACTAAAAAATCACCGCCGCACCTCTCCCTCGTCATCAGTGGTCGAGGCAATAGTTGAGTCGACAAAAAAATCACCGCCGCACCTCTCCCTCGTCATCAGTGGTCGAGGCAATAGTTGAGTCGACTAAAACATCACCGCCGCACCTCTCCCTCGTCATCAGTGGTCGAGGCAATAGTTGAGTCGACTAAAACATCACCGCCGCACCTCTCCCTCGTCATCAGTGGTCGAGGCAATATTTGAGTCGACTAAAAAATCACCGCCGAACCTCTCCCTCGTCATCAGTGGTCGAGGCAATAGTTGAGTCGACTAAAAAATCACCGCCGCACCTCTCCCTCGTCATCAGTGGTCGAGGCAATAGTTGAGTCGACTAAAAAATCACCGCCGCACCTCTCCCTCGTCATCAGTGGTCGAGGCAATATTTGAGTCGACTAAAAAATCACCGCCGCACCTCTCCCTCGTCGTGCGCTCTCGGCTCCCTGGAATGGAAGGAGGTGACTTTTGAGTCGACTCAAAAGTCACCTCGTCTCGTCGTGCGCGCACTGGGCTCCCTGGAGACACGGCAACAACTCTAGATCCCACATTCAACACCGCACGTCTGCTTCACCATCCCTGCTTCCTTCTCCCTGCACCCTCCCCCCCTCCCCCCTCCCCCCCCCCAACAACCACCGTCTTCCCCGCCCTCGTCACCAGGTGGTGGCAACAGCATACCCCTTCATCACCGCACGTCTGCTCTCAGACCCCTCGTCGGACATGCGGGCCATTCTCTTCCTTTCTATCCTCGTCCCTCGTCCTCACCGCCATCCCCCCCTTCCAACCAGGTGGTGGCAACCGCATACCCATTCATCATAGCGCGTCTGCTCTCAGACCCTTCACCAGACATGCGGGCCATTCTGCGCCAGATGCTGCTCTGGCCCTCGGGGGCTATCCGATGGCAGCGCCTGCAGCGACTAGTGAGCTCTAAATGCAGTGTAATTTTTTGGTGAGATGCAGCAGCTGGTGAGCGCGAGTGAGGGTACAGGCAAGCCCTTGCTTGGAGCGGCGGTTCACCGGACTACAGACCTTTTCTGCGCCAGATGCTGCTCTGGCCCTCGGGGGCCATTCGATGGCAGCGCCTGCAGCGACTGGTGAGCGTGAGGGAGGCGCAAAGTGCAAAGTGAGCGCGGCATAGGACTAGGCACAGACAGTCACCTGCTTTGGTCAGCACTTTGCATCTGGACTGGACCTGAGAGATTTTCCGCGCTAGATGCAGCTGTGGCCCTCCGAGTAACTGGCAGCGCCTGCAGTGACTGGTGAGCTATAAAGCACAGTAACTGGCAGCGCCTGCAGTGACTGGTGAGCTATAAAGCACAGTAACTGTTGAATTGCAGCGAGTGGTGAGCGTGGGATGTCTGAATGCCACCGTGGGGTGCCGACACATCACTCTGACTACATATCCAATCCACTACTTAGGCCCCACGAATCGAGATGTCGGTTGAGTCGACTCGAAAGTCACCTCAGTCACTTTGGCACGTCACGCTGTCTGTCCACACAGCCGTTTCTGAGGAGTTTCAAATCACATCACCCCGACCGTCCCCACCCCGTCACCCTCAGGCGTCCGTGCTCTCCAAGCCATCCCCACATCGCTCCTCTGAAGTGGACTCAAATGACATTTTAACTCGGTGAATCCTGAGTTGACTCAACAGTCATGTCTCAAACCACATCACCTTCATTGCCCCCCCCACCATCACCTTCAGGCGTCCGTGCTCTCAAAGCCATCCCCACATCGCTCCTCTGGGGTGGACTCAAACCCTCCAAGAGAACCCCAGGAGGGGCGGACAGAAGCACAGGTTGCAGCAGAGGAAGAGGAGAGGGATGGTGCAAGGGTTTCACCAAAGGGAAAGGAGCGGGCAGCGTTGGGTGCGGAGGAGATGCAGGGGGGACGACAGAGGGATGAGCTGAGAGAGGGGGTGGATGAGGCAGCGGTGGTGGCGGCAGCGGGGGATTTTGAGACGTCTCAAGAGGAGAGGCAGGAGGGACAGAGGGGACAGAGGGATGAGCTGAGGGAAGGGGTGGATGAGGCAGCGGTGGTGGCAGCAGCGGGGGACTTCCTGGCGTATGTGATGTCTGCCGAGGGCAGCAGCACGCGAGCGTGGCTGGTTCTTGATGCTGTGGCTGCGGGGCAGCGATGGGTGGATGGGAGGGTTGGTTCGACTGGAGAGTTGCTTCAGCAGCGGTGGGAGGAGGGGCAGCGGCTTGGGGCGTCTGGGGAGTTAAGTAGGGAGCAAGGAGTGGAGGAGGATGTGGGGAGGAGGGAGGCCAGAGGAGAGAGGGGAGGGGAAGGAGAGGTGAGGCAGGAGGGTAGGGGAGAGAGGGGGGGGGAGGGAGGATCGGGGGGTAGCAGAGTGAGTGGGTCTGCTGCAGGTGGGATACGGCAAGAAGCAAGCCCTGTGATGGCACAAGAGAGACACACAGGAGAGGCTGGGTCGGAGCAAGACAGCAGATCTAGCATGAAAACGGAACAGGTGAGCACGTAATCTGATGAACACATTTCGCCATAGTCAATATTGACCTGTCTCTCTTCCACCCGTGACTCATCCGTGCCCTCCCAACTATCCCGCGCACCCTTTGTTCAGCCGATTCCAACCTGCAGTGCTGATAGTACCCCCAGAGTTGCTGCTGCTGCTGCCCTCCTCCATTCCTTCCTATCCATGTGTCCCACCCATGCCCCCCACCCACCCATCCCAGGATCCCCCCGTGGAGCCCTTGGGATTGCTGGCTGCAGCAGTGCAGCGCTCCCCAGAGCTATGGGTGCCGCTGCTCTCCCCCATCCCCTTCCCACGTGTGTGGCCCACTCATCCGCCCCCCAGGCACCTCTTGTGGACCCATTAGGAGCACTGGCAGCAGCGGTGCAGCATGGCTGCCGCTGCTCTCATTGAGTCCTGCCCCACTCATGTCCCACCATGCCCCCCTCCCCATCCCAGGCTCCCCCAGTGGACCTGTTGGGAGCACTGGCAGCAGCCGTGCAACGCTCACCCGAATTGTGAATGCCACTGCTTTCATGAATTCCCTCCCCACCTGTTGTGACCCACGCATCCCCCCCTCCAACCCATCCCAGGCTCCCCCACCCCACTGGACCCTTTGGGAGCACTGGCAGCAACAGTGCATCACGCGCCGGAGCTGTGGGCGCCGTTACTCTCCTCCATCCTCTTCCCACCTGTGTGTCCCACTCATCCCCCCTCCAGGCTCCCCCACTGGACCCTTTGGGAGCACTGGCGGCAGCGGTGCAGCGCGCACCAGAGCTGTGGGTGCCACTGCTGGTGGAGACAGCAGGCAGAGCGGAGGCAAGGGAGATGGCTGGCAGGGTGGTGCGAGGGGTGGCCGCTCATGCTGCCAACTCTGCTGTTGAAAGTACGCTGCTTGCCGTGTCACGGTGGCTCCACTCCCGTTAGATCTTCAGCAGGGCGGAGGCGAGGGAGATGGCTGGCAGGGTGGTGCGAGGGGTGGCTACCCATGCTGCTGATGCTGCTGTTGAGAGCGCACTGCTTGCAGTGTCTCGATGGCTCCACTTTATATATGCCTTCCTAGTTGCGTTAAAGCTCAGAAGGGAGGAGTTGCCAGCAGGGAATTTTAGACCTTGTTGACACGAACACCTTGTTAAGAAGGGAAATAAACACGACAGATTACAAGCTGCGAATCTCACAGTATACCATAAGCCTCCCATGCGGTGTAAACATGCCATTGTGGTCCTTTTTGGAGGGTATCTGCTTCATGAACACAATTGAAAGAGCATCAGGCAGGCTAGGTTGCATTGCATATATCTACTGCTGAATGTTACAAGGAGCTTTTGTATACATACCGGTAGAATAGAATCCTACGCCTGAATCAATAGTGGCTAAATAATCATACCGAATGTTCACTGCATTTTCCTTACTGCCACCATACACGATATTACGCCTTCCTGTTGTCCTTGGGCCTGTTGCATTATTGGCACATGCTGCTGTGCTCGAGCGGTTTATTCTCTTACTGAATCTGAACACTGCTTGTGCAATCTCCTCTGCCCCGGCCCCCTCACTGTTGGCTCCTCTCCTCAAATGAACCCTTATTTCATAGATTGAATGAAGACCTTCCCCCACCTGCCCCATCATCTTCAGCCCTGCTTCTCCCCTGCAGCAGAGGCAGCGTGCCAGCCGTCGCAGGAGACGGTACTCTCACTGGCCCTCCCTGCACTCCCGCTCCACCTGACAACAACAAATCAACCTCAGGTGAACGCTCAGGTGAAAAGTCAGGCGCATCTTCAAACGCCAGCTCGTCTGTACTGTCTGCTCTGCTGAACGCCTCCGCAGCAGAGCTTCTCACAGGAGACATCCCTCTTGCTGCTCTCTCAGCAGTCCCTGCTGGTAGAGGGCTCGACGCTCGTAACCCGGTTACCACTGGCTCCGGTGCTGGCGACGCCTGTGTGCTGCGGGGATGCCTCTTCACAGCCACCAGCTTCACCTGAGGCTCTTTCTCCCTCCCCTTCTCCAACTCCTTACTCCTCCTCTCCCCACCCTTTTCCAACTCCTTGCTCCTCCTCCTCTCCTCCTTACTCTGCCGTGCACCCTCTGGGGTTGCAGCACCCCCCTTCGTCTCCTTCTCCGCATCCGACCCCATATCTCCACTTTCCCTCCGCTTCCCGTCCTTCTCTCCCCCTTTGCCCGCTCCATCTCCCCCCTCTCCCTCCTCTCCCTCGCCCCCATCAGCCCCGTTCTGCCCGTCCTGCTCCTCATCCAGGAGTTGGAATGCGGACTGCAGGGACGGGTGCAGGTATGCGCGTGCCAGGAAGGAGGACGGGTCCAGGTCGGGGCTGATCGTGCGGTCGATCGTGTCCTTGCGGTTCGCCTCCTGCATAGGGGGAGGGAATGGGTGGAAGGAAGGTGGGGAGGGGAAGGCGAGTATGAAAAGAATGGGTAAAGGGAAGGATGGAGTGGGTACAGAGGGGTTGAAGGGAAGGAATAGACGGCGACGGGTCCAGATCGGGGCTAATCGTGCCGCTGACCGTGTCCTTGCGAATCCCCTCATGCAGGGGGGGGGTCAGGGCAAGGGGAGGCGTCAGAGTTGGAAGGAGGGAAGGAAGGAATGACAATGGGTCCAGGTCGAGGGTGATTGTGTGGACGATTGTGTCCTTGCAGTTCACTTCCTGGAGGGGAGGGGGGAGGGGAAATCAGGTTTTAGGGTTTAGTTGGACGGAAATAGTTGGAGGGAGTAAGGAGGGGAATAGTTGGAGGGAGGGATGGAACGACGAGGGGTCCAGGTCGAGGCTTATGGTGCAGTCGATTATGTCCTTGCGGTTTGCCTCCTGGAGGGGTGGGGAAGGGGAGGGGGGGAGGGGGTAAAGGGAAGAGAAGGCGTTGGAGGGAGGGATGGAACGACGAGGGGTCCAGGTCGAGGCTTATGGTACGATTGATTGTGCCCCATGCAGGCTCCCATTGCCTCTCTCCATTGATCTACGTGCTTATATATGGAGTCGCTTTCGGAAATTCTAAAGAAAGGCCTCCCGGTGCCATGCTCCCTGTGCCCTGCTATTTTTTTCCTCACCAATGGTCCCCGCTTGCCACCGCCACTTGCCTTAAGGGCGCATTTGGAGAAGCGAGAATTGGAAGGTTTGTCAATGAATGCACACCTTTTGAAATCTCTTCAAAGTGATACAAGAATCCCCTTGTGCCAGCACCACTTGCCTCGAGAGCGTATTTGGAGAAGTTGGAGTCGTAGGGGCCGTTGATGAACACGTAGTGGAAGGCGACGGTGAAGATGGGCAGCGGCACCAGAAACCACACCTGCTCGTGAGTGAGTGCAAACAAACAATGGTTGAAACATTAGGGACCAGAATCAGCACGTGGTGGTATGGAATGAACGAAGGGGGACAGACAGCGCTAGGAACCACATCTGCAGCTGTGCATGCGAGAGTGCAAAAGAGTGGGGAGCAGTACTGGGAAACACAGCCGTGAGCGTAATTGGAGGGGAGTAGTATTTCCTTTCATAAGAATTCATGAAAGCACTGCGTCAATGCACAGCAGTCTCTTTCAAGAGTTCTCAAAAGTGATGCTGCTGTGCATCACTTCTGTAGTCGCACGCACAAAAGTGAGGCTGCTGTACGTGCATGCAGCAGTGAGATGCCGCTGGCAGCAATGACGCCATGCCTCTGAACAAGCAAAGAGCAGCGCTTCCAGACATGCAGGTGTGACAGCGGTGGCGGCGTTGGTAGCAGCAGCAGCAGCAGCAGCAGCAGCAGCAGCAGCAGCAGCAGCAGCAGCAGCAGCAGCAACAGCAGCAGCCACGTGATATGAGTGATTTTTTTTACGTCTCAAAAAGTCGCCATGCCTCTGAACAAGCAAAGAGCAGCGCTTCCAGATATGCAGGTGTGACAGCGGTGGCGGCGTTGGTAGCAGCAGGAGCAGGAGCAGCAGCGGCGGCAGCAGCAGCAGCAGCAGGAGGTGGAGGTGGGCTCACCTGCAGTTTGGCCTCTTTGAGAGCAAAGATGCCGATGAGAGTGAGGTGCTGGATGATCATGGATGCTTTGCGGCGCGTTTTGAGTCGACTCAGGTCTGGACGCTATGAGGTGCGCATGGAAGTGTAGCAGCAGCAGCAACAGCAGCAGAAGGTGGAGGTGGGCTCACCTGCAGTTTGGCCTCTTTGAGAGCAAAGATGCCGATGAGAGTGAGGTGCTGGATGATCATGGATGCTTTGCGGCGCGTTTTGAGTCGACTCAGGTCTGGACGCTATGAGGTGCGCATGGAAGTGTAGCAGCAGCAGCAACAGCAGCAGAAGGTGGAGGTGGGCTCACCTGCAGTTTGGCCTCTTTGAGAGAAAAGATGCCGATGAGAGTGAGGTGCTGGATGATCATGGATGCTTTGCGGCGCGTTTTGAGTCGACTCAGGTCTGGACGCTATGAGGTGCGCATGGAAGTGTAGCAGCAGCAGCAACAGCAGCAGAAGGTGGAGGTGGGCTCACCTGCACTTTGGCCTCTTTGAGAGCAAAGATGCCGATGAGAGTGAGGTGCTGGATGATCATGGATGCTTTGCGGCGCGTTTTGAGTCGACTCAGGTCTGGACGCTATGAGGTGCGCATGGAAGTGTAGCAGCAGCAGCAACAGCAGCAGAAGGTGGAGGTGGGCTCACCTGCAGTTTGGCCTCTTTGAGAGCAAAGATGCCGATGAGAGTGAGGTGCTGGATGATCATGGATGCTTTGGGGCGCGTTTTGAGTCGACTCAGGTCTGGACGCTATGAGGTGCGCATGGAAGTGTAGCAGCAGCAGCAACAGCAGCAGAAGGTGGAGGTGGGCTCATCTGCACTTTGGCCTCTTTGAGAGCAAAGATGCCGATGAGAGTGAGGTGCTGGATGATCATGGATGCTATGAGGCGCGAGTGGAAGTGCGGCCAATAGGCTCCCGCTGTCTCATACTCCGCGTTGTACACGTTTATCATCTGAGGGCGGGCGGGGGGTGGGGAGAGAGGTAAGGGATTAGGGTTTACGGTTTAGGCATGGTACTCCTCCGTCTCATACCCCACGTTGTACACGTTGATCATCTGGAGAGGGGGGTTGGTGGGAAGGAGAATTGGGGCAGTGATAGGCATGGTCCTCCGCCATCTCCTACTCTGCTTTGTACATCTCCTAGACAATTGATCATCTGGGGGAGAGGAGGGGGGAGGAAATGGGGGAGGGGGAAAGTGGAGTAGAGATGTGCATGGTACTCTGTTATTACACGTTGATCATCAGGGGAATGGGAAGGGGAAGGCGGGGGAGGGGAGAAGGGGTGAGATGGGGCTAGAGAGGGGAGTACACATGATTTGTCTGGGTGGGGCGGGTGACCCGATGGGAAGGCGGTTGGTGGGGGGAGGGGAAGGAAGGGGATACCGGTAGGTGGCTTTAAGAGGGAAGGCTGAGAGGAACACGTTGTTGTGCAGGTGAACATTGTGGACTAGGGGCTGCCCAATGCAGCTACCCCACCCGCCCAATAGGCGGACTAGGGACTGCCCAATGCAGTCCCTAGTCCGCCCCTCCATTCCTTCCACCCCACCAGGTAGCAGAAGCCACATACAGCCCCTAGTGAGCCCAGCCCCACCCCACCTCGCTGTGGCAGCCCCACCCACCCGCCTGCTTGTGGTAGGCCCATGTCGGCTCCACCCCTCCCCTCCCCACCCCACCCCACCCATCTGGTTGAAGCAGCCCCACCTCACTCATCTGGTTTCGGTACGCAACGAAGGCGAGGACGAAGAAGACAATGGCGAAGAGCAGGTCCAGCGGGTTGGCACATCCAGTTTCCCCCCCAGTGGGCCCCATTCTACCCTATCACACCCCACTCCACCGCACTGCACCCACCTGGTTGCGGTAGGCGACGAAGGCGAGGACGAAAAAGACAATGGCAAAGATCAGGTAGAGCGGGTTGGAGACGCAGTAGACAAAGGGCAGCAGGAAGTAGAGCTCCACCTGTAGAGAGGGGCGGGTGGGTGGGGGGGAGAGAAGGGATGGTGAGCGGGTTGGAGACACAGTAGACGAAGGGCAGCAGGAAATAGAGCTCCACCTGCTGGGAGTTGTGGGGGGAAGGAGTGGAAGGGCAGTAGGTGTGACAGTGAGCGGGTTGGAGACGCAGACTTTTGAGTCGACTCAAAAGTCAACGGTGAGCGGGTTGGAGACACAGTATTCGAAGGGCAGCAAGAGACGGAACCCCACTTGAAGGCAGGTGGGGGGGAGGACAGGGAGAAAACTCAGAGAATGGAACGATACACAGAGAATGGCTCACAAATGGACGGCAGAAAACTCAGCTGCAGGTAATGGATGGATCGGGGGAACGCGCAAGGGAAGGGGTGCCGACACAACACTTGGATCTTTGCTGCCAAAGGTCACATCACAGTTGAGATTCCGCTAAAGTGACTCCAATAGACACGGTTCTTTTGAGGCGCCTCAAAAGTGGTCTTTGCTGCCAAAAGTCTTTCCATTCGCTAAAATGGCTCCAATAGACACAGTACTCAAATGTGAATTCAATAATGCTGGAGTCCACAGGGATCGTCCTGAAGCGCCTCACACAATGCAATTGCTGACAGAGGCAGGACGCGAGCAGGAGGAGGCCGGAGGGAGGTGAAACAAGCGGCTGGAGAGAATGCATCTTGGCTTGGAGAGGGTCTACCAGGTACAAGAGCACACCTGGTACAGCAAGGGCACACTTGGTGCAGCATGGGCACAACTGGTGCAGCAAGGGCACACTTGGTGCACCATGGGCACAACTGGTGCAGCACCTGGTGGTAGAGCAAGGGGTACAGCGAGAGCACACCTGGTAGAGCGTTTCGATGAGCGTGAGGGGCGAGGGGTTCATGACCTTGATGCGGTCCGCTGGTGTGCGCACCAGCAGGTTGTTCTGTAATGAGAGGGAAGAGGGGCGATGGGGTGTGGGCCGAGGGGCGAGGGGCGAGGGACAAGGGATGAGTGGTGAAAGTGGAAAGTGGGGATCAGGGAGAGAAGGACGGAAGGCGGAGGGGCAGGGGGAGGGGTTCATGACCTTGATGCGGTCCGCTGGTGTGCGCACCAGCAGGTTGTTCTGTAATCAGAAGGAAGAGCGGCGATGGGTGCGTGGCGAGGGGCGAGGGGCGAGGGACAAGAGGTGATTGGTGAAAGTGGAAAGTGGGGATCAGGGAGAGAAGGACGGGAGGCGGAGGGGCAGGGGGGCGGGGGGGGAGTTAAAAGGCTGAGCAACCCTGAACCATATACACCGCTAGCAGGCACCACATGCATATTAAAAACAGCATTCCAGGATTGTGTGTCTAGTAATTTAAAAAAATGTGTGCCTCAGGATGAAATAACTGGCCATGCCAGTCCAGCATAGTGATTCTGAATCAGTCCCCAGAATCACAACATCCCCATGGCCATGCCAGTCCAGCTTCTCAACTGAGCCAACACAGACTGGTGCTCTACACAGCAAGCCCCACCGGCTCAGCTCAGCCCACCTTGACGTGGAACATGATGAGCGGCACCAGCTGCAGCACCTCCACTCCACTCCATGGCCTTTTGTTCGGCACCTCAAGATCCTCACCTTACATAGCAAGCCCCACCAGCTGAACCCACCTTGATGTGGAACGTGATGCAGCACGGGCTGCAGCACCCCCATGGGCTTTAGGTCAGCACTTCAAAGCTTCACCTTACACACCAAGCCCCACCGGCTCAACCCACCTTGATGTGGAACATGATGAGCGGCACGAGCTGCAGCACCTCCATGGCCATGCCGGTCCACCCGTCCAGCATGGTGTACGTCATGAAGAACGTGGCCTTGGTGGGGATGCGGTCGCCCAGGATCTGCGGCACTCTGGGAGAGCGGTGCAGAGTGGTGGGGAGCGGTGGGGAGCGATAGGGAGCGGTGGGGAACGGTGGGGAGCGGTGGGGAGCGGTGGAAAGGGAAGAGTGTGAGTGGACTGGGAATGCAGCTGCAGCACCTCCATGGCCATGCCGGTCCACCCGTCCAGCATGGTGTAGGTCATGAAGAACGTGGCCTTGGTGGGGATGCGGTCGCCCAGGATCTGCGGCACTCTGGAAGAGCGGTGGGGAGTGGTGGGGAGCGGTGGGGAGTGGTGGGGAAGTGAACGGTGCGCAACGGTGGGTAATGTTGGGGAGGGAACAGGGGAGGACACTTGGGTTGGGAGAGAACAGGGCAGGCAGTGGGGAGGGAGCATGGTAAGAGGAGAAGGGGTGGGGTAGAGATAGAGAAAAATTGCCGACTGTCCGAGATAGAAAAAGGAGGGTTGTGTGGCACAAGGAGGGACAAAGTCAACAGGCTTTCAACGAGGGCTCATGGCGCGTAGGGCTTTCAGCACAGAAATTCGTCTGCCTTTGAAAGGATTTCAGCGACGCTCGGAACTGAGATGCAAGCGTTCGTTGGACTCACGAGGAGGGGTTTTGGGAGAGGGTTTTGGCCTGGTCGAGCAGGACGCCGCCGAGCACGTTGGCGAAGAAGACGGTGCCGATGATGAAGTAGAAGTACTTGCCCGTGGCCGCCAGGTCTATGCCCGACTTTGCTGTGTACCCCTCCGCTGTTGACAGGAACGTTAGTAGCATTGGCAGGATTGCCAGGAAGATCTTCAGCGCGATACCGGAGAGAATGCTCTTAACGAACGCGTTAATAAAGGGGCTGGTGGGGACGGGAAACGAGGGAAGTGGGGGAAGCGGAAGGGTGTAAGTGGAAATGTCAGATTCATAGGTGGGATTGCAGGGGAGATGTACTTCTTGTCTAACCCACACAGTGACCGACGCACACTCTTACCCCTAATCACTGTAATCCCCTAATCGACTGTCAGTGCACTAGAAATCTAGACCAGTCCTAAATCCTCTCTACTCACACGTTGAGAATGGGCTGGAGGAACGGAGCCACTTTCGCGAGCTGGTCAATGTTGGCGAGTGATTGCACGAAGCTGACGGGGAAGGTGTACCCCAGAATAATGGCCACCGCTCTAAGACCCCGCTCCCCAAACCCCTAACCCTAGCTAGCCTACTCACACGTTGAGAATGGGCTCGAGGAACGGCGCCACTTTCGCGAGCTGGTCAATATTAGCGAGCGACTGCACGAAGCTGACGGGGAAGGTGTACCCCAGAATGGTGGCGATCACAATCCCCCCGACAACGATCCGCCGCAGCATGATGCTGACATAGGGCACCGGCAGGTTCTCCCACTTGACGTCGCGCTGCTCCGGCGCCCACACCGTGATCCACTGCGAGCTGTCCTTTGATTGGAGGGTCTGGGCAGCGACCGCTGCGCCCCACCGCGTGCGGAACGAGACGAACGCTGCTGGCATGACGGAGGAGCTGTCGTTGACCACCTTCTCACGCTCTTGCAGGATCTGAATCAGTAGGGGGTGGGAGGAGGTTTTGGGGGTTGTGGAACCAGAGTTATGGGGGTGGGGGGAGAGAAAAGTGGAGTGGAGTGGAGGGCACCGGCAGGTTCTCCCACTTGACGTCGCGCTGCTCCGGCGCCCACACCGTGATCCACTGCGAGCTGTCCTTTGATTGGAGGGTCTGGGCTGCCACGGCCGCGCCCGACCGCGTGCGGAACGAGACAAACGCGGCCGGCATGACTGAGGAGCTGTCGTTGACCACCTTCTCACGCTCTTGCAGGATCTGAACGAGTGGGGTGGGGGGCGGTTAAGGGAAGAGGGAGTAATAAGGGATGGACAACAAGGCATCACGTCATTTCCATGACGCCTCGTTTTTAACCCCCTATACCCTGAACATGTTGAGTCTTGAACAAGTCGAGGCCGGCCGGGACCCTTCTTGTTCTGCCTTGGCAGCCAACACATACGCATCCTAGTCTCTCCTCTACCAACATTTCAGTCTCCTCTACCTTCTGCTTACATACCCCCCATGTCTCCTCTACCAATCTCACGCACCCTCTTATCTCCCCTACTATCCGCCCACACCACACACCTCCTTCTTGATCTCGGTAATCTGCTGCGTGTAGAACTCGATGGAATCCACCTGCGTGCCCATCATTCCCAGAAACCCGTCCTGCCATGTTGGGCAGTTGGGAGGGCGAGGGGAACGAGAGGAGGAGAGAAAGGTGCGCGCACAGAGAATGAGGTGCGAGGAAGGAGAGTGAGCTGGATAGAGAGAGGTGCATGAGGTCAAGCAGGGAGGAGCAGAATGGGAGGAGAGGGGAGAGGAGTGAGACGAGATTACACACATGATGAGGCTGAGGGATTGCGGGGCGTAAGAGTGGAGTGCGAACGAAGTGGGTTTAGAGGGAGGGAGTAATTCCCGAAAGATGGATTCAAGACAGGGTGTTGGCGTTGTACACCGGCTGCCAGGGGGGCGAGCAGCGGGCGAGCAGGGGGAGATCAGGGGGGATGGGAACGAATTCGTGCATGGAAGCAGGAACAGCTTGTTCGCGTTGTACTCCAGCTGCCAGGGGGGCGAGCAGGGGAGGGTGCGAGGGGGCGAGCAGGGGGGCGAGCAGGGGGGTTGTGAGGGGGCGAGCAGGGGGCGGGCAGGGGGGAGTGTGAGGTGGCGAGCAGGGGCCGAGCAGGGGGGAGTGTGAGGGGGCGAGCAGGGGTCGAGCAGGGGGGAGTGTGAGGGGGCGAGCAAGGGGAGAGTGTGAGGGGGCGAGCAAGGGGGGAGTGTGAAGGGCCGAGCAGGGGGGAGTGGAAGGGAGGGAACAGGGGGCGAGCAGGGGGGAGTGTGAGGGGGTGAGCAGGGGACAACGGGGGAATGGGGGGAAGGGAAGCAAATGGGAACAGCTTGTTAGCATAGCGTATGGGCTCATCTCACTAGCATCACCCTCGCCTCACTCACAATCTCCTTGGCGCCTGACGCGCATCTCAACCGTATCTCTCAATCACCGCCGTCACAACTCGCTCTCCTTTACCTTTCCGGTTTGCTAACCCATCTCGACAACGAGACACGCACGCACCTCCGCGGCTATAGCGAACCCACCTGGAGCAACATGAAACCGATCTGACATGAAACCCACCCGGGGGACATGAAACCGACCTGAGTGAGCAGGTAGTGATCGGAGTGGTTGACAGAGAAGAAGTGATCCACAGTCTCGGGGATGGACTTGATGGGGTCTGCTGGCACCTGCCGCACCAGCACCTGCCATGGCAAGGGTAAGAGATGGGAAAAATGGGATCTGTGAGCACGCAGCACGGGAATTGGACTTGGAATGCAAGATGGTGTATGTATGAAGACGGGAGTGTGGGACGTTTGCAATTCCCTTGTCCAGGCTACGAAGTGGTTGAGCGCTCACAGGTGTGGTGCTGAGACCCGTGAAACCTAGACTTGAACCAATCCACGAGCGACTCACATTGTAACTGAATCACACCAGAGAGACGTGGAGTGCACTGAATAGGCAGCCACAGGTGTAGTGTTGATGCGGGTCAATACTAGACTCGTATGAAACCACGAGAGAGGGACTCACAGTGTACTGGTTGGGCGCCCTCTGCTGGTCGGCGAGGAAGTCAAGGCGCATGCGGGCAACGTGCTTAAAAGAGTCTCGCAGCACGTACAGCGCCCACAGGTTGAACACCCACGCCATCACCACATGCGCCCACAGGCTGCACACACGCGAGTCAAACATGCGATTTCATTAGACAGAGAGGGGGGAGAAATGCGAGGTCTCGGATCTAAGGAGAACAAGAATCTGATTAGACAATGGCGGAGAAACGAAGGTAGAGGGGGTCGAAGCAGAAACACATCCAGAGCGAAGGAAAGGGATGGATTTGTACCAGGCACATTGATTGGCCTTGCCAAGCTTGCCTTGTCATCCAGCAATTAGCTCAGCCTGGACGAGCCATTACATCGGGTGGCGTCGTCGAGCGTCACCTGGGAGAGCCATCGGGCACGTTGGCGATGGAGAGCTTGTCGATCTCAGAGTATTCGAAGAGCTTCGCTTTCGTGTTCCCCTCGGCCACCTGCTGCTCCGCGTACGCCGCCTGCGCCTCCAGCGACCCGCCCGTGAAGTTGATGGGGAACAGCACTGCGGCCGCCAGCAGCAAGATCGGCACGAAGATCTTGAACCTGTCGGATGGTCAATATGACACGTGGATGGAGGTGGAGCATTCAGAGATGCCTGGGACAAGTCGAAGAACTATCCGCAGCGGTGGTCAACGAGTCGATGGCCGTTGGACTTAGAACGGCAAACGCGAACGTGGAACACGCCTGAGGTTCGCGTGACCAGGAAAAAACAGAGCTGCTACAGCCGAACTAATCTGAGCCAGCCTTGAAGGGATTCGAGCCGTACCCGAGTTTAAGAGTGTGGAGGAAGACGACGCTATCGAGACCCGCGTGCTGGATGAGCTCCCTCTCGGGCATGGCGAGGGCCACCTTGACCCAGTCGAACGTGTCGGCGTAGTTTTTCAAGGAGCACTCGATCCATCGCCGGCTCTTCACGATGTTGCCCTCCACCTCCGCCTGCTCGTGCTTCTCCGTCGCTTCCTGCGCGCCAAGTCACGTGAGGAGCACCCGAAGTTGACATTTGTGGTTTTTTCAAAATCCGTCACGTAAGTAGCAAAGATTCTCAGTTGCACGGGCTGATTGCAAAACGGTGATAAGATAGGGTACTAGATGCAGCGAGGTCGTAACGAAGGGTGACAAAGCGAGGTCGTAACGAAGGGTGACAAAGCGAGGTCGTAACGAAGGGTGACAAAGCGAGGTCGTAACTAAGGATACCGTAGTCGGGATCGTGGGGTTGACGGACACGAGGTCGACATGTGACAAGCTAAGTCGTTGCTAATCAGCTTAGTGGGTGACTGCGTCCAGTTGTGAGATTCATCCTCTCACAACCATCTGTACAATGCCATGACTGCTACTATTTTAATCGAATGCGGGGGGTCGAGTATCGCACATATTGCGTCGTGAAAAGAACATTTGGCTTGGACTACATTCCTCATGCACTACATCCTTCATTTTACTCTCGCTATCTGCATGCTCGCCTTCTATGATACTTCGCATTTTACTTCATGCAATTACAGACTACATTTACCGATATATTTTACGTTATTTAATGAGCTAGACCCTTGCAGGATCTTAAAAAGGAAAACGACAAGGAAAGGTAGTCGCGGACCTTGTCATTTATACAGAACCATTTTGTGTAGTAAACGCGTGCATTCAGCGGTTGTTGTGAGAAGACCGAGTAGAGAAATAAGACGACCAGTGAAATTCCTAAGTTGACGCCGAACGACACTCCTAAGTCCGCGAACGTCACTCCCATGGAATTCTATCTCTCGCACCTCGACTGCAGTCAAGTAACTAAGCAGAACCGGCCCGAAAAAAGCTGAACAACTTAAAACAGTGGAAGCAGCTCACGTGAGCGACGGAAACGCTAATCGTATGTAGTATGCAAACGAGACAGGAGGAGGTTGTAGAAGGCAAGGTAGGGTGTCAGTAAAATTCTGATATTAGATGCTGGAGAAGGGAGTGAAGTGGAGGACGAAGAGGCAGCAGGTGGGACCAAGGACAATCTCGAGGAGGGATGTTGGAGGCGAGGCGATGTTGGCAAATACAGTGCCTGCTAGAGCAGGCAATCTGCTCAGTCTTGGCAAGAATCGATGGTCAGCAGTAACGTGACGGTCGGGTCCTTGAAATGCCCAAAACGTCACGAGGAAGGTTTCGCCGACTAGTTCGTTTGTGCGCTCCGCGTTTTCTTGGTTGAGTCACTGGCGTGCGTTACAGAGGTCGACGTCAACTTGGACGGCCAAGGGGAGTGTGGCAATTGGAGCTCTCGAGGCGACTTCGTTTTCAGATTTGCCGCCAAGCTGCCGAATCGGCCCAGTTGGTGGCCCGGAACAGAGCGCCCCTGACTTCTTCCTGGGTGCGCTGGAGATATATATAGTAAAGAATAGTACACTACCTCAAGTTTTTTTTTCATTATGAATATATCCAAATACACCGGAGAACAAGCGCATAAGAGATATATGTCAGTCGTAACTGAGCGTGAGAGGCCGACCCCCAGTGGTGGCCCCATGCGAAGCTTCTAAGGCGGATGCAAAGCCCCCCTTGCGAGATACCTCAAGTGCATTATGGGTGATTTATCTAAACAATGATGGTAACATGGCAGTTGAGTGTGTAAACACAATGGCGGTATTTGAATCTAAACACACCCCCACAACCATCGTTGTTGTTATAGGTGTGTCAAACTGTATGTTTGTGTTCTCTCTAGGCTATAGTGGATTAGCCTACAAGGGGTACAACACTTTAGGGTTAGGTACTTGTACTCATGCATGCTACCTAGTCCATCATTCCTACCTGCAGATTCTAACATGGCATTAGAGCAGAATCGATCCTAGGGCCCACCGAACGTTCCGCCCTGCCCTAACCGTACATTTTTCTTCCTACGCTGCCCCTGCAGCCGCGCTGCCCCTGCAGCCCGCGCGCTGCCCCTGCGACCGCGCTGCCCCTGCAGCCGTGCTCGCCCCTGCGACCGCGCTGCCCCTTCAGCTGTACCCGCCCCTGCGACCGTGCTGCCCCTGCAGCCGTGCCTGCCCCTGCGACCGTGCTGCCCCTGCAGCCGTGCCTGCCCCTGTGGCCCGCGTGCTGCCCCTGCGGCCCGCGCGTTCGCCCTTGCAGCCCGTGGGCGCTGCCTCTGCAGCCCGCGTGCCGCCCTGTCGAGCAGCGCGTCGCCCCTGCAGCCCGTGGGCGCTGCCCCTGCAGCCCGCGCGCCGCCCTGCCGAGCCGCGCGTTGCCCCTGCAGCCCGTGGGCGCTGCCCCTGCAGCCCGTACGCCGCCCTGCCGAGCCGCGCGTCCCCCCTGCAGCCCGTGGGCGCTGCCCCTGCTGCCCGCGCGTCGCCCTGCCGAGCCGAGCATCACCCCTGCAGCCTGGGCGCCGCCCTGCCGAGCCGCGCGCCGCCCCTACAGCCCGCGCGCCGCCCTGCCGAGCCGCGCGTCGCCCCTGCAACCCGTGGGCGCTGCCCCTGCAGCCCGCGCGCCGCCCTGCCGAGCCGCGCGTCGCCCCTGCAGCTCGTGGGCGCTGCCCCTGCAGCACGCGCGCAACCCGAAACCCTAAAAAAAATATTAAAAAAAAAAATACTACTGCCGCTGCTGGGAGTGCTGGAGGTGCTGCTGGTGCTGGAGGAGCTGGAGGTGCTGGACCTACTCCTAACCGTCGCTGTCTGTCATGGCCACTATCGCGGCAGTTGCTGCGGCCAGGGGTGGACAGCAGCGGGCACTGCCTCTCCCGGACGACCCCACCCCTCAGCAACTTCGTGAGTGGGTTTTTCAGCGAGGCAGGCCTGGTGGTGGAGGTTTTGATTTTAATTGGCCTAAGCGACGTCGCGACTGTGCTTCTCAGCGATGCGTCCCTGGCTGTGTAGAGCTTCCTGCTCTCGGTTCTAGTGAGTCTGCTGCCGCTCCAGGTGTTAGTGAGTCTGCTGCCGCTCCAGGTACTAGTGAGTCTGCTGCAGCTCTAGGTGCCTGTGAGTCTGCCGACGCTCTAGGTGCTAGTGCGTCTACTGCCACAGGTCCTGCCTCAGCTGAGGTCTTGCACACTTTCACGCTTGACTCAGGCGCGTCACGTTGCTTCTTTCGTGATTGCACCACAGTCACACCACTCACAGGACCTGTCCCAGTCTCACTGGGTGACCCCTCTGGGGGCCCAGTAGTTGCGAGAGCCTCCACGGTCCTCCCTTGTCCAGCAATCCCCTCCGGCTCTCTGTCATGTCTCCACCTCCCCACGTTCTCGACGAACTTGGTGAGCAACACTGCCATTCAGGATGTCTGGGTTGATACCTTTATTCTTGGAGGGCAGCGTGTGGCGATCTGTACGTGCTCCCGGACAGGCCGTCACCTGGCTACGTTCACTCGACAGCCTGGGTCTAGTCTGTACACACTGACCACTCCGTCTGCACAGGTGGCTGAGTCAGGTCAGGTGGCCGCGTCGAGTCGGGCGTCTGCGTCGGGTCAGTTAGCTGCGTCCTGCTCGTGCAGAGTACTCACGCACAAGACTCAGCGCTGGCACCACCGTCTTGGTCACCCCTCCTTCCCGCGTCTACGCAGCATGCACTCCCGTCTCCTTGTCTCTGGCCTCCCCAGGACCCTGCCCCCCTTGCCGTGCTCGCTTGCCCCGCCGTGCCTTCCTTGCGTCGAGGGGCGGCAGCGCGCTGCTCCTCACTCCTCCGAGTTTCCTCCGACCACTACTCCTCTGCAGACTCTCCACCTGGACGTGTGGGGCCCGGCCCCAGTCGGTGGAACGGACCAGGAGCGCTACTTCCTGCTGGTTGTTGACGACTACACACGCTACACCACCGTCTTCCCCTTGCGGCGCAAGGCGGATGTCAGTGGTGTCCTGATCCCCTGGATCCGTGCTACTCGTCACCAGTTGCGCGAGCGGTTTCGGCGGGACTTTCCAGTTCTGCGTCTGCACTCTGACAGGGGTGGTGAGTTCTCATCTGGCGTCCTTGAGACGTTATGTCAGGATGAGGGCATCGCCCAGTCGTTCACGCTTCCGGCCTCTCCGCAGCAAAATGGGATCGCTGAGCGTCGCATTGGCCTGATCATGGAGGTTGCTCGTACCTCTATGATCCATGCAGCTGCTCCCCATTTCCTGTGGCCGTTTGCGGTCCGATACCCCGCGCATCAGCTCAACCTCTGGCCCCGTGTCTCTGCTCCAGAGACCTCGCCCACAATCCGTTGGACGGGACAGCCTGGTGATGCGTCGTCGTTTCGGGTCTGGGGCACGCTCTCCCTTGTTCGCGATACCAAAGCGAGCAAGCTCTCTCCTCGCACTCTCCGCTGTGTCTTCCTGGGCTTCCCCACCGACGCCCCGCCCTGGCAGTTCTACCACCCTGCCTCGCGTCGTGTTCTGTCCTCTCAGGACGTCACCTTCGACGAGTCGGTCTGTTACTACCGACTTCACCCACACGCGTCCCACCCGGTCCCCCTCGCGCCTCTCTTCCTAGTACCAGTCCCCCCCCCGGTAGACCCCCTTCCCCCACAGGGTCCTGCTCCCTCAGGTGTGTCTCAGGTAGACCCACCCCCCTTGGATGAGCCAGTGGAGATCTCTTCTAACTCCTCTGACCCAGCTGAGGGGGGTGACACCGCCGCCGACGACACGGCGACCACTCGCCGCACTCCTCGCTTGGAGACCCCCCCGGGTTTCCCGCCTCGGCCGTCTTCGCCACCTCCGCAGCCTGCTGCTGTGGACTCTCGAGCTGAGGCTGCTGGAGCTGGGCCTGGGGGTGGTACGTCTGGGGGTGTCCGCTCTCCTCGTTTGGCTACCCCCCCCGGTTTCCCGCCTCTGCAGCCTTCTGCAGTGGACATTGGAGCTGAGACTGGGGGTGCATGGACTGAGGGTACTGAGCCTGCGGGTGCTGGGACTG